ACCTCAGCCTCCCAAAGTGCTGGGATTACAGGCTGAGCCACCGAGCCCAGCTTAATTTTTGATTTTTATTGTAGACATGAGGTCTTGCCAAGTTGCCCAGGCGGGTCTCGAACCCACGGGCTCGCAATCCACTCACCTCAGCCTCCCAAAGTGCTGGGATTACAGGCTGAGTCACGGAGCCCGGCCAATTTTTTTTTTTTAAGTTAGAGTCTTACTCTGTCATCCAGGCTAGAGTACAGTGGTACATTCACAGCCACCGCAGGCTCGACCTGCTGGCCTCAAGTGATCCTTCCACCTCAGCCTTCCAAGTAGCTGGAACTATTCGGCACGCACCAACATGTTGGGCTAATTTTTTTCTTTCTTTTTTTTTGCTTTTGTTTTGTTTTGTTTTGAGTTGGAGACTCACTCTGTTGCCCAGGAAGGGGTGTAGTGGCACACTCACGGTCACCCCAGCGTCGACCTGTGGGGCTCCGGTGATCCTTCCACCTTAGCCTTCCAAGTCACTGGAACTACAGGCACGCGCTACCACGCCCAGCTAAATTTTGACTTATTGAAAAGACAAGATCTCGCCAAGTTGCCCAGGTTGGTCTCGAACCCTGGGATCAGGCAATCCACTCGTCTCGGCCTCCCAAAGTGCTGGGATTACAGGCTGAGCCACCGAGTCCACCCTAATTTTTTCATTTATTGTAGAGACAAGGTGTCACCAAATTGCCCAGACTGGTCTCGAACTCCTGGGTTCAGGCCATCCTCTCACCTCAGTCTCTCAAAGTGCTGGGATTATAGACTTGAGTCACCACACCCAGCACCAGAACAATCTTTCTACAACATACATGTACTATTTTCACTTCCTTGTCTAAAAATCTATTTCCTTTTTTTATATTAAAAGATATAGTTTAAGCCAGGCTCGGTGGCTCAGCCTGTAATCCCGCACCTTGGGAGGCTGAGGTGAGTGGACTGCCTGAGCCCGTGGGTTCGAGACCCGCCTAGGTAACTTGGCAAGACCTCATCTCTACAATAAATAAAAAATTAGCCGGGCGTGGTAGCACGCGCCTGTAGTTCCAGCTCCTTGGAAGGCCGAGGCAGAAGGATCGCCGGAGCCCAGCAGGTCGAGGCTGCGGTGGCCGGCAGCGGCCACTGCACTCCAGTTTGGGTGACAGAGTGAGACTCCAACTCAAAGAAAAAAAAAAAAAGATATAGTTTATTTAAAAATCAAATTAGAGAGGCAGAGAAAGAGGAGATTCACCTCCCCAAGGTAGGGAAGAGGGCCAAAGCCAGGAAACATGGCTGCAGTAATGGCTCCAAGAGCGCATGGCCACACCAGAATCTAGTAAAGCAATGGCCTAAACATGTGTATCTATTTCTAAAGACATAAAATTCAAACTTGTTAGCATTATATTTAGAACTTCTCATATAATTGCCTCCTTTTACCTTTATGGTCTCATGTCCCAAAATGTTCTCCTTCCTCACCCGCTGCTCCCTGAATTGCTTTTTCTTGCACAATTCCCTACATACATGACATTAAGGCGTTTTCCTCCACAGGTTCTGTCCTTCCCTTTCTCCATCCATGTCACATTCCTACCCATCATCTAAAACCCAACTCAGGCCGGGCTCGGTGGCTCAGCCTGTAATCCTGCGCCTTTGGGAGGCTGAGGTGAGTGGATTGCCTGAGCCCGCGGGTTCAAAACCCGCCTGGGCAGCGAGACCTCATCCCTACAATAAATCAAAAAATCAGCCGGGCGTGGTAACGCGCGCCTGTAGTTCCGGCTACTTG